CCTGGGGGCGGCCCGTCAGGAAGTCCAGGACACAGTTACACAGGGCGGGGTTCAGACCTAGGGCCTCGAGCTTAATGATGAGCTTGGAGGGTACTATGGTGTTGAATGCTGAGCTATAGTCAATGAATACCATTCTCACATAGGTATTCCTCTTGTCCAGATGGGATAGGGCAGTGTGCAGTGTGATGGCGATTGCATAGTCTGTGGATCTATTGGGGCGGTAAGCAAATTGAAGTGGTTCTAGGGTGACAGGTAAGGTAGAGGTGATATGATCCTTGACTAGTCTCTCAAAGCACTTCATGATGACAGAGGTGAGTGCTACAGGGCGATAGTCATTTAGTTCAGTTACCTTTGCTTTCTTGGGTATAGGAACACTTGTGGCCATCTTGAAGCATGTGGGAACAGCAGACTGGGAAAGGGAGAGATTGAATATGTCCATAAACACACCAGACAGCTGGTCTGCGCATGCTCTGAGGACGCGGCTAGGGATGACGTCTGGGCCAACAGCCTTGCGGGGGTTAACATGCTTAAAGTCTTAATCACGTCGGCCATGGAGAAGGAGAGGCCACAGTCCTTGGTAGTGGGCCTCGTCAGTGGCACTGTGTTATCCTCAAAGCGGGCGAAGAAGGAGTTTTGCTTGTCTGGAAGCGAGACGTTGGTGTCGGCGACGTGGCTGGTTTTCTTTTTGTAGTCCGTGATTGTCTGTAGACCCCGCCACATACGTCTCGTGTCTGAGCCGTTGAATTGCGACTCCACTTTGTCTCTATACTGATGTTTTGCCAGTTTAATTGCCTTGCAGAGTGAGTAGCTACACTGTTTGTATTCTGCCATATTCCTAGTCACCTTGCCATGGTTGAATGCGGTGGTTCGCGCTTTTAGATTTGCACGAATGCTGCCGTCTATCCACGGTTTCTGGTTAGGGTAGATTTTAATAGTCACAGTGGGCACAACATCACCTATACACTTCCTGATAAACTCAGTCACTGTTTCAGTGTATTCGTCTAAATTATTTTCGGAAGCTACCCAGAACATATCCCAGTCCGTGTGATCAAAACAATCTTGAAGCGTGGATTCCGATTGGTCAGACCAGCGTTGAATAGTCCTTAGCACGGGTACTTCCTGTTTGAGTTCTCTGTTGTCTTGAATGGCCTCATGCTGTCTTCTCAGTGGAAAACAGACATCCTCAGCCGCTCTCGTTATGCCTTACTGTGCATAATAGCAGTCTGGTTAATTTAAATGGCAGGCCAGCACACAAACAAGGATTATATCAGCGTAAACAAAACGCCATGTTTGACGGTGGGTATGGTGTTCTTGGGGTCATAGGCAGCATTCCTCCTCCTCCAAACACGGCGAGTTGAGTTGATGCCAAAGAGCTCCATTTTGGTCTCATCTGACCACAACACTTTAACCCAGTTCTCCTCTGAATCATTCAGATGTTCATTGGCAAACTTCAGACGGGCCTGTATATGTGCTTTCTTGAGCAGGGGGACCTTGCGGGCACTGCAGGATTTCAGTCCTTCACGGCGTCATTGATAAGATCCTCCCGTGTAGTTCTGGGCTGATTCCTCACCGTTCTCATGATCATTGCAACTCCACGAGGTGAGATCTTGCATGGAGCCCCAGGCCGAGGGAGATTGACAGTTATTTTGTGTTTCTTCCATTTGCGAAAAATCGCACCAACTGTTGTCACCTTCTCACCAAGCTGCATGGCGATGGTCTTGTAGCCCATTCCAGCCTTGTGTAGGTCTACAATCTTGTCCCTGACATCCTTGGAGAGCTCTTTGGTCTTGGCCATGGTTGAGAGTTTGGAATCTGATTGATTGATTGCTTCTGTGAACAGGTGTCTTTTATACAGGTAACAAACTGAGATTAGGAGCACTCCCTTTAAGAGTGTGCTCCTAATCTCAGCTCGTTACCTGTATAAAAGACACCTGGGAGCCAGCAATCTTTCTGATTGAGAGGGGGTCAAATACTTATTTCCCTCATTAAAATGCAAATCAATTTATAACATTTTTGACATGCATTTTTCTGGATTTTGTTGTTGTTATTCTGTCTCTCACTGTTCAAATAAACCTACCATTAAAATTATAGACTGATCATTTCTTTGTCAGTGGGAAAACATACAAAAGCAGCAGGGGATCAAATACTTTTTTTCCCTCACTGTACATATGAGATGAGTAGTGCAAGATATGTAAACATTATTAAAGTGACTAGTGTTCCATTTCTTAAAGTGGCCAGTGATTTCAATGGGCAGCAGCAGCCTCTAATGTGCTAGTGATGGCTATTCAACAGTCTGATGGCCTTGAGATAGAAGCTGTTTTTCCATTCCCTCAGTCCCAGCTTTGATGCACCTGTACTGACCTCGCCTTCTGGATGATAGCAGGGTGAACAGGCAGTGGCTCGGGTGGTTGATGTCCTTGATGATCTTTTTGGCCTTACTGTGACATCGGGTGTTGTATATAACAGTAATCCTTCTACCCCCCCATAAAAAAAACATAAAAAAAGATAAAAAAAAAAAAAGGTGGTTGTCCCACTGGCTATCATAAGTTGAATGCACCAATTTGTAAGTCGCTCTGGATAAGAGCGTCTGCTAAATGACGTAAATGTATGTGTCTTGGAGGGTGGGTAGTTTGCCCCCGGTAATGCGTTCGGCAGACCGCACCACCCTCTGGAGAGCCCTGCAGTTGTGGGCGGTGCAGTTGCCGTACCAGGCGGTGATACAGCCCGACAGGATGCTATCAATTGTGCATCTGTAAAAGTTTGTTAGGGTTTTAGGTGCTAAGCCGAATTTCTTCATCCTCCTGAGGTTGAAGAGGCTCTGTTGCGCCTTCTTCACCACACTGTCTGCGTGGGTGGACCATTTCAGTTTGTCGGTGATGTGTACGCCAAGGAACTTGAAGCTTTCCACCTTCTCCACTGCTGTCCCGTTGATGTGGATAGGGGGGTGCACCCTCTGCTGTTTCCTGAAGTCCACGATCATCTCCTTTTGTTTTGTTGATGTTAAGTGAGGTGAGGTTATTTTCCTGGCACCACACTCCCAGAGCCCTCACTTCCTCCCTGTAGGCGTTCTCGTTATTGTTGGTAATCAAGCTGTTGTGTCATCTGCAAACTTGATGATTGAGTTGGAGGCGTGCTTGGCCACGCAGTCATGGGTGAACAGGGAGTACAGGAGGGGGCTGAGCAAGCACCCTTGTGGGGCCCCAGTGTTGAGGATCAGCGAAGTGGAGATGTTGTTTCCTACCTTCACCACCTGGGGGCGGCCCGTCAGGAAGTCCAGGACACAGTTACACAGGGCGGGTTTCAGACCTAGGGCCTCGAGCTTAATGATGAGCTTGGAGGGTACTATGGTGTTGAATGCTGAGCTATAGTCAATGAATACCATTCTCACATAGGTATTCCTCTTGTCCAGATGGGATAGGGCAGTGTGCAGTGTGATGGCGATTGCATAGTCTGTGGATCTATTGGGGCGGTAAGCAAATTGAAGTGGTTCTAGGGTGACAGGTAAGGTAGAGGTGATATGATCCTTGACTAGTCTCTCAAAGCACTTCATGATGACAGAGGTGAGTGCTACAGGGCGATAGTCATTTAGTTCAGTTACCTTTGCTTTCTTGGGTATAGGAACACTTGTGGCCATCTTGAAGCATGTGGGAACAGCAGACTGGGAAAGGGAGAGATTGAATATGTCCATAAACACACCAGACAGCTGGTCTGCGCATGCTCTGAGGACGCGGCTAGGGATGACGTCTGGGCCAACAGCCTTGCGGGGGTTAACATGCTTAAAGTCTTAATCACGTCGGCCATGGAGAGGCCACAGTCCTTGGTAGTGGGCCTCGTCAGTGGCACTGTGTTATCCTCAAAGCGGGCGAAGAAGGAGTTTTGCTTGTCTGGAAGCGAGACGTTGGTGTCGGCGACGTGGCTGGTTTTCTTTTTGTAGTCCGTGATTGTCTGTAGACCCCGCCACATACGTCTCGTGTCTGAGCCGTTGAATTGCGACTCCACTTTGTCTCTATACTGATGTTTTGCCAGTTTAATTGCCTTGCAGAGTGAGTAGCTACACTGTTTGTATTCTGCCATATTCCTAGTCACCTTGCCATGGTTGAATGCGGTGGTTCGCGCTTTTAGATTTGCACGAATGCTGCCGTCTATCCACGGTTTCTGGTTAGGGTAGATTTTAATAGTCACAGTGGGCACAACATCACCTATACACTTCTTGATAAACTCAGTCACTGTTTCAGTGTATTCGTCTAAATTATTTTCGGAAGCTACCCAGAACATATCCCAGTCCGTGTGATCAAAACAATCTTGAAGCGTGGATTCCGATTGGTCAGACCAGCGTTGAATAGTCCTTAGCACGGGTACTTCCTGTTTGAGTTTCTGCCTATAGGAAGGGAGAAGCAAAATGGAGTCGTGGTCAGATTTGCCGAAAGGAGGGCGGGCGAGTGCCTTATAACCATCCCGGAAGTTTGAATAGCAATGGTCGAGGATTTTAGCAGCACGAGTACAACAGTCGATATGTTGATAGAACTTTGGCAGCCTAGTCCTCAAATTTGCTTTGTTAAAATCCCCTGCTACAATAAATGCAGCCTCAGGATATGTGGTTTGCAGTTTTCATAAATCAGCCAGCCAGTCAGTAAATCAGCCAGCCAGTCAGGAAATCAGACAGCCAGCCAGTCAGTCAGTAAATCAGTCAGTCATGTATGTGTGTAATCTCCCTGTCTGAAGGTATTTCTCTGTTATTTTGTCTGTGCTTTGTTGGTCACTGAGTATGCTATGTGTGACTGTTGTAATGGGAGTCAGTAGCTACACACTATCTAGTGTACTGCTGTGTGTACCTGCTAACTACCTGGGACTGCTGCTCTGCTGATTGGCTAAACTCAGGGTCTAAAACAACTGGATCATCTACTGGACACTATGGACCTATATTCAATTATGAAAATCACACAACAGAACTCTAAGGATGTCCTAAGTGGCAGATAATAGTGGTAATTAATTCAATAAACATGTGGACACAGGTTCATTTCCTTCATTGTTCCAGCAGCAGCAAAATGGGATTCCGAGACCGGATGCGGCTGAACAACTCCCGTTCGTCCCAGACGAGTCGGAACAAGGCATCCCCGCTGCCTCCCGGGACGAGTGTCCGCCAGTCGCCCAGCACAGAGAACGTCCCAGAAGCCACCAGTCCCGGAAAGGTGCAGAAGAGCTGGAGCTTCAACGACCGCACGCGGTTCCGCACCTCCCTACGACTCAAACCCAGACCTCCTGCAGACGGTGGGAACTGGGACTTAACTCACTCCCACAAACACATACACACTTATACAGTACATACTGACATACTGTCTCTCTCACGTATGTTCTTGTACGCACTCACTCACTCCTTCCCTCTCACCCTAACTGTATTGTTGCTGTCCTGTCTCCAGTGGAAGGAGTAGGGGAGGACAGTGTTGAGGACAAACCATATTGTGATGTAGCCATGGAGGAGGTGATCCCAGCAGTGAAGACCTTGATACGGGCTGTTAGGTGAGTCCTATACCCTCTCTCACAGCACACCTACCTGTACCCACAGGGTACCTACTGGCCCACATCATGATGGAACCAGGTCACCTGTCTCCTCTCTGGTCCTAAAGTCGCCATAGGCCCTTGTATTATATTTGGGCCTACAGTACTTCCTGTTATGGTGGCTGGAGTAAGATGAATGCCCGGCTCCTCCAGTGGGCTCTGGCCGTGTGCAGTTTCAGCTGACGGTAGGGAAATATCCTCTTTAGCGTGGTAACTGATCCTTCCTGCCGCAGGCCAGGTTCTCGGCTCTGACCTTGTCTCAGTCAATCGGTCAGGTGCTAGAGGGCAGCTGACAGAGCCGTAATCATGGAGAGTCTATTGCAGAGCTCCATATTAGTGATACACTGGTGTTTTAGGGATCACTCCCTGGCCCCCAAAAATATACACTATACTTTACTGTACAGTTATTTTATCTCTTCTTACTTTGATGGAATAGAGCATAATAATTTGTTGACCAAAGTCTTCATATAACATTGATTTAAAGCAAAGGTTGTGTCTGCTGTAGTGTAGTCGTGTACATTGAACACATTTCTATGCCCACAAGGAAACTTCCAATATTAGAAAAACTAGCTATGATATAAGGAATAGCGAAAGAATGGTGTGAAGGAATGAGAAAAATGCATAGCTGGCAAACCTATGCACTAATTAACGGCTCCATGTGTTCAGGGGGGCAAAAATACGACCCCTTGAGGTTTCTCTGTACTTAACCATGTAAATATCCTGGAGGTATCCTTCATCCCTCTACACACACGCACGCACATGCAAAACGTATTCCACTGAGGGAGGCAGAAAAACACTACAATTGCCAGCAAACATCTGTCAGTGAGGCAGGTAGGTTGGTCTGTGGGGAGTTTGTGTGAGTGGATTATATTGAACCACTACTGGCAGATCCCCAGGGTCAGCCATACAGACACACAGCATCTTTCATGTTGCGTCAGATTGTGTGTGTGTTTCCATGTGTACACTGTGTATATTATGCTGTATGTATGAGGGGTTATGTGAGTGCATGTGTTCATATGAAAGGGATAGTGGATTGGGACTGGATTCATTTGAGTGTAGGCCCTATTGGCTACCATACTGACACGTAAATATTCTTAGCCGACGTGTGTGTATATACATCACCGTAGAAACACTGGAGTCTTATGTAAGTTCCACACCTAAGATCGATGTCTTTTAAAAAACTGGTAGATTTGAGCATTGGCTATAATGCTGAGGCTTCACTTTAGGAAGACTGATGTACAGTGGGGAAAAAAAGTATTTAGTCAGCCACCAATTGTGCAAGTTCTCCCACTTAAAAAGATGAGAGAGGCCTGTAATTTTCATCATAGGTACACGTCAACTATGACAGACAAATTGAGATTTTTTTTCTCCAGAAAATCACATTGTAGGATTTTTAATGAATTTATTTGCAAATTATGGTGGAAAATAAGTATTTGGTCACCTACAAACAAGCAAGATTTCTGGCTCTCACAGACCTGTAACTTCTTCTTTAAGAGGCTCCTCTGTCCTCCACTCGTTACCTGTATTAATGGCACCTGTTTGAACTTGTTATCAGTATAAAAGACACCTGTCCACAACCTCAAACAGTCACACTCCAAACTCCACTATGGCCAAGACCAAAGAGCTGTCAAAGGACACCAGAAACAAAATTGTAGACCTGCACCAGGCTGGGAAGACTGAATCTGCAATAGGTAAGCAGCTTGGTTTGAAGAAATCAACTGTGGGAGCAATTATTAGGAAATGGAAGACATACAAGACCACTGATAATCTCCCTCGATCTGGGGCTCCACGCAAGATCTCACCCCGTGGGGTCAACATGATCACAAGAACGGTGAGCAAAAATCCCAGAACCACACAGGGGGACCTAGTGAATGACCTGCAGAGAGCTGGGACCAAAGTAACAAAGCCTACCATCAGTAACACACTACGCCGCCAGGGACTCAAATCCTGCAGTGCCAGACGTGTCCCCCTGCTTAAGTCAGTATATGTCCAGGCCCGTCTGAAGTTTGCTAGAGTGCATTTGGATGATCCAGAAGAGGATTGGGAGAATGTCATATGGTCAGATGAAACCAAAATAGAACTTTTTGGTAAAAACTCAACTCGTCGTGTTTGGAGGACAAAGAATGCTGAGTTGCATCCAAAGAACACCATACCTACTGTGAAGCATGGGGGTGGAAACATCATGCTTTGGGGCTGTTTTTCTGCAAAGGGACCAGGACGACTGATCAGTGTAAAGGAAAGAATGAATGGGGCCATGTATCGTGAGATTTTGAGTGAAAACCTCCTTCCATCAGCAAGGGCGTTGAAAATGAAACGTGGCTGGGTCTTTCAGCATGACAATGATCCCAAACACACCGCCCGGGCAACAAAGGAGTGGCTTCGTAAGAAGCATTTCAAGGTCCTGGAGTGGCCTAGCCAGTCTCCAGATCTCAACCCCATAGAAAATCTTTGGAGGGAGTTGAAAGTCTGTGTTGCCCAGCGACAGCCCCAAAACATCACTGCTCTAGAGGAGATCTGCATGGAGGAATGGGCCAAAATACCAGCAACAGTGTGTGAAAACCTTGTGAAGACTTACAGAAAACGTTTGACCTGTGTCATTGCCAACAAAGGGTATATAACAAAGTATTAAGAAACTTGTTATTGACCAAATACTTATTTTCCACCATAATTTGCAAATAAATTCATTAAAAATCCTACAATGTGATTTTCTGGATTTTTTTTTTCTCATTTTGTCCGTCATAGTTGACGTGTACCTATGATGAAAATTACAGGCGCCTCTCATCTTTTTAAGTGGGAGAACTTGCACAATTGGTGGCTGACTAAATACTTTTTTTCCCCACTGTAGTTACTCAGCCTGCCTACCTGCCTGTGTAAATGTGTGGACTGTGCTGTTTGGGATATGGAGGGATTGTTAGAGGGAGAGAGAGGAGGAGGAGAGAGATCTGTCTACTCGCTGTAGTACTCACCTCAAACAAATCAAGTTCTGCTAAAGCCACTCGTAGTCAACTTCTGTATTTCTGTACAGTTGTGAACCTTTTATATTTTTGAAACGGTTTTATCCAGAGTTTGGAAAGTCTACCGTTTGCCTATTGTTTGATCCCCCGTTTTTGTAAGGATTTTAAAGAAGTGCTCTGCTTTTAAAGTTAGCTGTTGATTGAGCTCATGTAAGCAGTAGTTCCTCTTTTGGTGTTCAAGGCGTCAGGTAGCCTAGCGGTTAGAGCATTGGCCCTGTAACTGAAAGGTCACTGGTTTGAATACCCGAGGAAGACTCCCGAGGTGAAAAATCTGTCTGTGCCCTTGAGCAAGGCACTTAAACCTCATTTGCTCCAGGGGCGCCGTACTACTATGGCTGACCCTGTAAAACAACACATTTCACTGCACCTATCCGGTGTATGTGACAATAAAACATATTTTTTAAAGTGTCCCCCTCCATCACACTAACTTCACTGCTGATGCCATGCCATGAGTCATTCACATAAAACCAAACCAAAAACGACCGAATGCTGTCTTGCATATTCAATGCCGACTTGAATATATTTGGTCCAGATCTCAATAACTTTTTGGTACTGATGCTATCGCCTCAAGTGCTTCTCCATTTGTCTACCAGAGCCTCTGAGCTTGAAACTAATGATTTAGTGCCAACAGTGCCAAATATGCCCCTATACCAGGTATCTACAGTGGGCATACTTCAGGCAGCCAAGGTATTAATATAATCATACCACAAGATGAAGAGAGCGACTCAGCACTTTGAAGAACCCCTTAGAGGATGGAAATAAAATGTAGATTTTTGTTCATATCCCTTCTGCTTTTCCTTACTCTTACTTTTACCCACACCTGAGACCCACCCTGGCAGAAGAAAATATGCATCTACCTGCAAATTATAAAAATACCTTGCAAAAATATATCGGGAAAAACTCGGTAGTCATCAAGAATGCATCAAGTGCCCTGTGAGGAGGATGGAGGAAGGGTGCGCTGACGGCTGCTGTGGCACCAGCTGTCGACCACTACCCCTCTTTTCCTACTTTCTCCCTCCTGCAGAGTGAGAGGAAGAGAGATAAAGAGGAAGAGTGTGTGTGATTGCCATCAAAACACTAGTTGCAGCACATATCACTAAACTGCCATTGCACATGCAAGTTGTTCAGTCGCCAACAATGGTTAACACTTTTGTTAGCCCCCCCCCCCCGGACATGACATACTGATGTTAAAGAAGAAGAAGTTTCCTCATAAAACAGCCCCCATCCTCCCTCCCCTCTGTGCCCAATCCGACTCATGGAGCAATCCATCATGGCTTGGGATGACAGGTTAAGTGCGTCTGTTTTGCTACGCTAACATTTGGCGTTTCCTGTATTCTGCCGAGCCAGCACCTTTGTGTCCGGGCGGCTGACTACTCTCCTATAGTGTGATAAGCAGCCAGAACTCTGCCCAATATATGTTCAGTCAACACTCTACAGCTCCAACACACTCTTTACTTCTCTCTAGGAAAGGGCAACGATTGGTGGAGGGTGGATGTGAATATAATTAGCTTTGCACGCTAGGAGTCAGAGCATCTGTCTCTGTCCTCTAACTGTGGGGTCACCACACACACACACACACACACACACACACACACACACACACACACACACACACACACAGCTATCTCACAGAGGAGAGGAGGTAGACTAGACACACACAGCCCCGTGTAGCTCAGTTGGTACAGCATGGCTCTTGCAACGCCAGGGTTGTGGGTTCGTTTCCCACGGGGGGCCAGTATGAAAAAATGTATGCACTCACTAACTAAGTCGCTCTGGATAAGAGCGTCTGCTAAATGACTAAAATGTTCTGTGTGTGTGTGTGTGAGAGAGAGAGGCTGACTAAGCAGAGGGCCAGGGTGTGCAGAAAACCAAGTGTGTCCCTCTCTCCTTACACAGTGCACCGGAACAAGGGCGTCGATTAGAGATATGTACAGTTGAAGTCGGAAGTTTACATACACGTTAGCCAAATACATTGAAACTCAGTTTTTCACAATTCCTGACATTTAATCCTAGTAATAATTCCCTGTCTTAGGTTAGTTAGGATCACCACTTTATTTTAAGAATGTGAAATGTCAGAATAATAGTGGAGAGAATGATTTATTTCAGTTTTTATTTCTTTCATCACATTCCCAGTGGGTCAGAAGTTTACATACACTCAATTAGTATTTGGTAGCGTTGCCTTTAAATTGTTTAACTTGGGTCAAACGTTTCGGGTAGCCTTCCACAAGCTTCCCACAATAAGTTGGGTGAATTTTGGCCCATTCCTCCTGACAGAACTGGTGTAACTGAGTCAGGTTGGTAGGCCTCCTTGCTCGCACACACTTTTTCAGTTCAAGCTTTAACTTCCTGACTGATGTCTTGAGATGTTGCTTCAATATATCAACATAATTTTCCTTCCTCATGATGCCATCTATTTTGTGCACCAGACCCTCCTGCAGCAAAGCATCCCCACAGCATGATGCTGCCACCCCATGTTTCACGGTTGGGATGGTGTTCTTCGGCTTGCAAGCATCCCACTTTTTCCTCCAAATATAACGATGGTCATTATGGCCAAACAGTTCAATTTTTGTTTCATCAGACCAGAGGACGTTTCTCCAAAAAGTATGTTCTTTGCCCCCATGTGCAGTTGCAAACCGTAGTCTGGCTTTTTTATGGCGGTTTTGGAGCAGTGGCTTCTTCCTTGCTGAGCGGCCTTTCAGGTTATGTTGATATAGGACTCGTTTTACTGTGGATATAGATACTTTTGTACCTGTTTCCTCCAGCATCTTTACAAGGTCTTTTGCTGTTGTTCTGGGATTGATTTGCACTTTTCGCACCAAAGTACGTTAATCTCTAGGAGACCGAACGCGTCTCCTTCCTGAGCGGTATGATGGCTGCCTGGTCCCATGGTGTTTATACTTGCCTACTATTGTTTGTACAGATGAACGTGGTACCTTCAGGCGTTTGGAAATTGCTCCCAAGGATGAACCAGACATGTGGAGGTCTACCATTTTTTTTTCTGAGGTCTTGGCTGATTTCTTTTGATTTTCTCATGATGTCAAGCAAAGAGGCACTGAGATTGAAGGTAGGCCTTGAAATACATCCACAGGTACACCTCCAATTGACTCAAATGATGTCAATTAGCCTATCAGAAGCTTCTAAAGCCATAACATCATTTTCTGGAATTTTCCAAGCTGTTGAAAGGCACAGTCAATTTAGTGTATGTAAACTTCTGACCCACTGGAATTGTGATACAGTGAATTATAAGTGAAATAATCTGTCTGTAAATAATTGTTGTAAAAATTAATTGTCATGCACAATGTAGATGTCCTAACCGACTTGCCAAAACTATAGTTTGTTAACAAGACATTTGTGGAGTGGTTGAAAAATGAGTTTTAATGACTCCAAACTAAGTGTATGTAAACTTCCGACTTCATCTGTATACAGTCAGTATTCTATACATGGCTCTACGTTTCTCATTGGTAATACAGGAGTAATGTCATTGTCAAAGGCCACAACACAGGGGAATCCCTGTGGTACTCTCCAGTGGTTTCCTTTAATGAGGACATTTGTGAATGATATTGATAAGGTGACTTTGACTGCAAATCCCACTTAATCCCACCTACGTAGTTACACTGATGAAGCTCAGGACTGTTTCATGGTTAACTTTTTGCAGTATTCACTAGTTTAATTCTGCAATGTGAGGCACCCAAAGGCAACACATTCTAGTAGAGCTCTACTTGTGTGTGTGTGTGTAGGATCCTGAAGTTCTTGGTGGCCAAGCGGAAGTTTAAGGAGACTCTGCGTCCGTACGACGTGAAGGACGTCATAGAGCAGTACTCTGCTGGACACCTGGACATGCTGGGGAGGATCAAGAGTCTACAAACCAGGTACACAGACACACACACACACACACACACACAAATGTTCTACAGCTGCACCATCGAGAGCATCCTGACTGGTTGCATCACTGCCTGGTATGGCAACTGCTCGGCCTCTGACTGCAAGGCACTACAGAGGGTAGTGCGTACGGCGCAGTACATCACGGGGGCCAAGCTTCCTGCCATCCAGGACCTCTTTACCAGGCGTCAGAGGAAGGCCCTAAAAATTGTCAAAGACTCCAGCCACCCTAGTCAGACTGTTCTCTCTGCTACCGCATGGCTAGCGGTACCGTAGCGCCAATTCTAGGTCCAAAAGGCTTCTTAACAGCTTCTACCCCCAAGCCATAAGACTCCTGAACAGCTAAATATGGCTACCCGGACTATTTGCATTTTTTATTTTACCTTTATTTAACTAGGCAAGTCAGTTAAGAACAGATTCTTATTTACAATGACGGCCTACACCGGCCAAACCCGGACGACGCTGGGCCAATTGTGCGCCGCCCTATGGGACTCCCAATCACGGCTGGTTGTGATACAGCCTGGAATTGAACCAGGGGGTCTGTAGTGACGCCTCAAGCACTGAGATGCAGTGGCTTAGACCACTGCGCCACTCGGGAGCCTCGCTATTGTTATTTTACTGCTGATCTTTAATGATTTGTTACTTTTATTTCTTTTTTTTTTAGGTATTCTTTCTTAAAACTGCATGGTTGGTTAAGGGCTTGTGAGTAAGCATTTCACTGTAAGGTCTACACCTGTTGTAGTCGCCGCATGTGACAAATACAATTTTATTTTATTTGACACACAACCTACAACAGTTGGAGACACAGTCTATTCATACCTCACAAACTCCATCACCAGTACTAACCATAACACCACTAAATGAACCATTTTGATAATGGTTGTTGATTTGTTGTGTGTTGTCCTTGTCCTCCCCAGAGTGGATCAGATAGTGGGTCGTGGATCGTCCTACCAGCCGGATAATAAGAAGGTGAGGAGTGAGAAGGGAGAGAAGACCCCTCCAGAACTGGACCTTATGGACGAGCTCAGTATGATGGGACGCGTCATCAAGGTGGAGAAACAGGTACAGAGCTCAAGTAGAGTAGGTTGATCGTCACGTTAACGCACGCCCACTGCCACGGCCACCACTTTGAGACTTGAAAAACCCTGACCATCAATGCATGGCTTTCCTGATTAGGCTAATATTCTATGTACACTGAACAAAAATATAAACACAACATGTAAAGTGCTGGTCCCATGTTTCATGAGCTGAAATATAAGATTCCAGAAATGTTCCATACGCACAAAAAGCGTATTTCTCTCAAATGTTTTGGCACAAATTTGTTTACATCGCTTTTAGTGAGCATTTTATCCTTTGTCAAGATATTCCATCCACCTGACAGGTGTGGCATATCAAGAAGCTGATTAAACAGCATGATCATTACACAGGTGCACCTTGTGCTGGGGACAATAAAAGGCCACTCTAAAATGTGCAGTTTTGTCACACAACACAATGTCACAGATGTCTCAAGTTTTGAGGGAGCGTGCAATTAGCATGCTGACTGCAGGAATGTCCACCAGAGCTGTTGAATGTTCATTTCTCGACCATAAACCACCTCCAACGTCGTTTTAGAGAATTTGGCAGTACGTCCAACCGGCCTCACAATCGCAGACCACCTGTAACCACGCCAGCCCAGGACCTCCACATCCGGATTTTTCACCTGCAGGATCATCAGGGGAGGGGATGGGAGGGGAGGGGAGTGCTGTCTGTAATAAAGCCCTTTTTTGGGGAAAACTCATTCTGATTGATTGGGCCTGGCTCCCAGGTGGGTGCCCTCCCAGGCCCACCCATGGATGCGCCCCTGCCCAGTCATGTGAAATCCATAGATTAGGACCTAATTTGTTTATTTCAATTGACCGATTTCCTATATGAGCTGTAACTCAGCAAAATCTTTGAAATTGTTGCATGTTGCGTTTATATTTTTGCTCAGTATAATATAGGGGTGATGTGAGTGCATGATTTCTCAATTTGTGCTTGTATTTGTCTCATGATAATTATTGGGTTAGTAGTGCTACGTAACTACCATTTAACTATGTAATTTATAATGAAATACCCAGTAAAAAAGACTAACATAATCATTGCTCATTAATAATATCATATATAGATTTTAGTGCACAACAATAATTGGTGCGTGTTAATCTCTATACAGGTGCAGTCGATAGAGAACAAGCTGGACCTCCTTCTTAACTTCTACACACAGTGTCTGAAGAAAGGCTCGTCCAACTTCACCCTGTCTTCCCTGTTAGAACCAGACCTGACGTTGGACTACCACAGCCCCACAGACTATCGTGACCTTTTCCCCTCCGCCAACACACTCAACGTCTCCCACTCAGAGTCCAGCAAATTGGAGTGACTGGGACTGTACTCACTGACTGAGGCTGAGGCTGGGAATGAACTGGGCCCACCGCTAGACCCTCACCTCAAAGTATTTAAGCCCTGAAATGTCATGTCACCATACTGGACTGTAGCAGCACCCCCAGAGTAACCACCTATGCCCATAGCCATTTCCACTCATCACCAAACCAATTTGATTATTAACTTTGGAGGTCTGACTCCTCTCCCTTTAGAAATTCACACTCCACACCTTAGGACCCACACTTCTTTCCATAGACTGATCCTCACCTTTTAATAATTTCTCCCTCCACATACACTACATGGCCAAAATATGTGGACACCCCTTCAAATTAGTGGATTCGGCTATTTCAGCCACACCCGTTGCTGACTGGTGTATAAAATAGAGCACACAGCCATGCAATCTCCATAGACAAACATTGGCATTCGAATGACCCGTACAGAAGAGCTCAGTGACTTTCAACAGGATGCCACCTTTCCAACAAGTCAGTTCGTCAAATTTCTGTCCTGCTAGGGCTGTCCCGGTCAACTGTAAGTGCTGTTATTGTGAAGTGGAAACGTCTAGGAGCAACAACAGCTCAGCTGTGAAGTGGTGGGCCACACAAGCTCACAGAACAGGACCGCCGAGTGCTGAAGAGCGTAGCGCGTAAAAATCGTCTGTCCTTGGTTGCAACACTCACTACCGAGTTCCAAACTGCCTCTGGAGCAATGCCAGCACAATAACTGTTTGTCGGGAGCTTCATGAAATGGGTTTCCATGGCTGAGCAGCGCATACAAGCCTAAGATCACCATGCACACTGACAAGCGTCAGCTGGAGTGGTGTAAAGCTCACCGCCATTGGAGTGGTGGAAACGCGTTCTCTGGAGTGATGAATCACGCTTCACCATCTGGCAGTCCGACGGACAAATCTGGGTTTGCCGGATGAAAGGAAAACGCTACCTGCCCGAATGCATAGTGCCAACTGTAAAGTTTGTGGAAGAGGAATAATGGTGTGGGGCTGTTTTTCATGATTTCGGGCTAGGCCCCTTAGTTCCAGTGAAGGGAAATCTTAACACTACAGCATACAATGACATTCTAGACAATTCTGTGCTTTCCCGTTTCAGCATGATAATGCCCCCGTGCACAAAGCGAGGTCCATACAGAAAATGTTTATTTAGATCGGTGTGGAAGAACTTGACTGGCCTGCACAGAGCCCTGACCTCAACCCCATCGAACGCCTTTGGGATGAATTGGAATGCCGACTGCGAGCCAAGCCTAATCTCCCAACATCAATGCCCGACCTCACTAATGCTCTTGTGGCTGAATGGAAGCAAGTCCCCGCAGCAATGTTCCAACATCTAGTGGAAAGCCTTCACAGAAGAGTAGAGGCTATTATAGCAGCAAAGGTGGGACCAACTTAATGCCCATGATTTTGGAATGAGATGTTTGACGAGAGGGTGACCACATACTTTTGGCCATGTATTGTATTTGAAATAATCTGCTCCATTTTAGAGCCGCTAGTGGAGGCTTCATCATAATATCCTTTCTCTATTTCCAAACCAGCACCCATCAACCCTAACTACTCCTCACACAAAGCCCTCTCACCCACACCCTCTCACCCACACCCTCCCTCCACACCCTCTCACCCTCCCTCCCTCCACACCCTCTCACCCTCCACACCCTCTCACCCTCCACACCCTCCCTCCCTCCACACCCTCCCTCCCTCCACACCATCTCACCCACACCATCTCACCCACACCCTCTCACCCACACCCTCTCTCCCCCACACCCTCCCTCCACCACCACCCTCCCTCACACACCCCCCTCCCTCCACACCTCTCCCCCACTCCCCACCCTCTCCCCACACCCTCCTCCACCACCCCTCCCTCCCACACCCTCCCACACACCTCCTCCCACACCCTCCCCCCCACACCCTCCCTCCCCACCCCCCCACACCCTCCTCCACTCCCCCCTCCCTCCACACCCTCTCCCCCACACCCTCCTCCCCCACCCCTACCCCCCCTCCCCCCACCCTCCCTCCCCCCCCTCCTCCCCCCCCTCCCCCACACCCTCCCTCCCCCCACCACCCCCTCCCTCCCACACCCTCCCTCCACACCCCTCCTCCCCCCACCCCCTCTACCCCACCTCCCCCCCACCCCTCCCCCACCCTCCCCTCCCCCCCTCTCCCTCCAACCCCCTCCCTCCCGCACCCCCCTCCCTCCCCCCCCTCCCCCCCCTCATCACCCCCCTCCCTCCCACCCTCCCTCCTCCACACCTCTCACCCATACCCTCTCACCCACACTCTCCCTCCACCCTCCCTCCCACAATCTCCCTCCACACCCTCCCTCCCTCCACATCCTCCTCCCTTAATCCTCTCCATCTCACCATAGCCCTAACCAACCCTAACCCATCCTCAAGTGAACCAGTGGAGTCCCTATTGAACATACATACACTGGCCACCAGAGGGTACCATCTGAGCAGAGACCTGGCCCAAAGCCGCTCTCCGCACACCTCCCTCTGTCTCAGTCCCTCTGGGGTAAAAAGAAGGAGAGCGAACAACACTACTACTTGACCACCGAACCGACCAGTTTCATTCACCAACCACATCACACATACTGTATCGATCTATGCCTATTCCTAAATATCAACTTTGAGCAAAGTTTGGGTTTTGTTTTTTACCCAGTTTGGTGTTCTATTATCTGTTCAGTTTTTTTCCTTTACTGGTTTCTTAGTTTGTAATCAATAGATTTCCAGATGAACCAATGAAGAACTGCTGCAGCTCTCCAACAGTCAGGATAGCTTCAATTTGTTCTCTAGTTTGTCAGACTCTAATCTGATGCTGTAGGAGACGGACTGTCTCTAAGCTTCTGATGAATGTACTGTGTGCGCCCTGTTCTGTCCCCTCCTCACCTCCTCTCATCCCCACCACACTGACCACAGCTCAACTCTCTATCTGAGGCACTGCAAAGACTTCATGTCCCCCTCTACTCCACTGTGGGGATACCCAGACTGGAAAAAAGCCCCAAAAATGGACGACTCGACATGAATGGAAAGATGAAAACCACAGCCATTTCACCAAAACATCAGCTTTCTCACTTTGCCCTCCTGTCCAGGTTGTTACATGGTACTCGTTCTACCCTCGTCCTCATTAGCAGTATGCTGTCCTGAAAAGAGAGGGACTAGGTTACGACAAGAGAAGAACTCAGGCCTCACATGTGACACTTGTTCCATCCCTCAATGAAGTACGTCCATGCCACTCCGATACAGTCCCCCACCTCATGATTTTCTCTACAACAAGCCCTCTTTGCAAAAAAAAAATTAAAAATTAAAAAAAAAAGGTATTTCTTCAATACAGCCAATATGGTATTTCATGATAGTGAGAAATACTGGTAAGAAGGAAGGCTCTATTTTTATAATCAGAGTTTTGGAATGGGGAATCTCTCTCTAGCATTCCCTCATGGCATTTGGAAGAGACTTTACACACGTCTTCACAAAGGGTCAGGTTAAAGGGGATATTGTATGTTTTCTACCTGTTGATCCCTTTAAAAACCTCTGTCTTGCAGCCCACCCCTCAGACATGTGTGTTCCTCAGACCAGACCAAAGGGTAAGAAAACACTGCCCCAAGTCAGACTATAGAGGGTTATGTCCATCCTCTCTGTATCAATACTCGTCCATTCTCACCCGTCTTTGTTGCATAGTATCTCACTCCTGTGTTTCATGTCAGCTGGTTTAGGCCGGCCAATCAGCTCATGTCTATGATGAGATGTATTCCAAACCAACCAACTATCACACATTCTTAGGCTACGTTCCAAAATCAACACTAGCATACTACTTAGAATGCATGCACCAACCATAATAGCTTCAAAGCAGTGTGCTAGTGTGGATGTTGGACCAGAGCCTTAGTTTCTCTCATTGGCGATAGAGGGAGAACTCTTGTCTCGTTGATTCGCCCAACACATGCACCTTCTTATGATGCACGTCCAGTGAACAGACTTAGTACTGTTAGTGTGCTGTAGCCAGTTGTGTGAATGCTCTAAATGGTACGGTCAGGTGGTGGCTGATAAAATAATTCCTGGGAGGCATCCATCCATGTCAGAAGCATGATCTCTGGTACTGTAACCTCTCCTATCTATGCATGCGTCTCAGCCAACGGTTCGGCTTTATAACGACTTCTGGACTGCGTCTAACCCTGGCAGGATTCAATGCAGAAGCCCTCCTTGGGTTATCTACAATAGGTAGTCCACTTTAGCCATATGGTGTATGGTTGTTTATGGTTCACTGACAGACCCTAAACAATGGTTTGCTCATAGAGATATGTTATGTAAAGATTTTCTAATGGACAGAACTGGAGAACACACCCCACTGTAGTGGACAATATGGCACCTGAAGAGACTCCTGTAAGACACCTATTTGTTTCAAGTTGTGTTGATTTTTATTTTGTCCTATTTGTTCATACACTCCACCGCGTCTCCTCTGACAGCTAAAATGAGATGTAATATTTCTATGATTGTATTTTTTGGTTTTTGATTGTTTAAAGTGAATGTAAGATTTGAGTCCATATGAATGTGTCCCATTGTTTTTTTGATATTATCTCTTATAAAGTTTTAATAAATGTAGCATTTTTGTCGAATCGACGATGCATGACTGTTCTCAGACACTCCCATACTACACACACACAGACACAGACAGATAGACAGACAGACAGTCAGTCAGTCAGTCAGTCAGTCCCAGAGCTCAACGATTGATTTGACTGTTAGCTATAATTGCATCCGGCCCTAACAATGGAGGACATTTTCTTTTTCTCAGAATCACAGTTCTCTGTTTTCAGCCAGTACAAGCAAGTCTCTGGCCCCATGAGAGGCTTGGACAAGTTAATTAGGTTCAATCAAGCCAGAAGTTAGTTGATTCAGGTGCATAAATGTTCCATTCAAAGCAACTGGAGATTCTGAGAAGCACTTTACGCTTGGGAGATCTGGTGTTTTTGTTGGTGCTTTTGTCGAATCGACGACACGTGA